TGTTGTTTCAAAATACATATGATCAGTTTTACTCATTCATGTATGGTAGGGCCAGATTAAATGATTACATTGCAGAAAGGGATAGGGTGTTAAATGATTTTTTGAAAAAAACCTTCGTAAATTTTCCTGGTTTGCCTCAATTTCCTCAAAGTTTAACTTGGCCACCTTTTTCAGTTTTCACTGATCCTCAGGTTGAAAAATTTATGGCAAAAGCAACTGGTCCTCCTCCTCCTCAACATACAAAGAAAGAGGATACACCATCTCAACCTACAAAAAAAGAGGACACATCAACCAGCTCAAGGAAGAGAGGAAGGCCACGCTCCAAAGCTGTAATGGAAGAGGTCAGTGAGCAGGAAGAAGAGGATGAAGTGGAAAGATCAGAGTCTGAATCTGAAGATGTGGATAAATCTGAGTCTGGGGACTCGGATTATGAAGAGGAATAGCATGTTACATTGTTCTTATTTGTTGTAAATTTTTGTAACCTGCTGGATGCACAGTAAGGACACTGTTGAACTCAAGTTTGGGGGAGAGTACCATATTTGTTTAAAATAAAATAAAAATTATTTGTTGTGGTGATTTTTGTGAATATGTTTGCTATTTTGATAATTAGAAGTTTGTTTGTTGTTTGAAAAGTTAGAAGTTAAAGTTATGTTTTTAAATATATATATATATATGTGTGTGTGTGTGTGTGTGTGTGTGTGTGTGTGTGTGTGTGTGTGTGTGTGTGTGTGTGTGTGTGTGTGTGTGTGTGTGTTGTTTCAAGACTTTGTGCATGAAATGGCAGTAGATGAATTCTGATTAAGGAGTTTGGATTTTTTTTAGCAAATGCTAAGCTTTCAGTTGTGTGAATATAGACATTGAGATAAGAGTGTTTAGATGGCTAAGGGATGATACCAGGAAGAGATTGATGATGTTAATGGACTAAGGTAGGGAATAAAATTGGATCAATAGGTGACTGAGATGGTAATTGAACTCAGTAAGGATTTGGGCTTAAATAGATGATTTTTTTTTCATGAGAGATCTTCACTTGGGTAGATGAGACAGAACTTGGCCTGATGCTTAGGTGAGTGAGTGTAGCACTTGTTTAGGTTTGAAATGATAAGGGCATTCTTTTCATGTAGCCTTGTTGAGCCAAAAAGCCATCCTGGAAATATTGACTATTGCAAACCCATTTGAGCTTGAGCCTGATTTTTATTTGTGTAGCCCAATGAGACCCATCCTTAATCTCACCTTACCATGTAGTTGTGATGGAAAACAAGAAATAAAAGAAAAAAAATCTTGAGGCAAGTCACTGTTGGCTGAAGAAAAAAATGAAAAATGTTGCTGTGTACTTAGAATTAGATGTTTATTTTTTGTTGATAAAGTAAAAATAAAAAAAAATAAAAAAAAATAAAAGAAAAGCATTCAGCAGTAGAAGAAGCAGCATCTAAGATTTTTTGGACAGTGCCTCTGAAATATGTCTTTCCATCACAACTTAGCCATTATTCCCACAGATATCCCACCTAAACCTCAGCCAAAGTACCACCCTGGCAAGTCCCTTTGATTTAACCTTAACTTGTTGTTGCACTTAGGAAACTTGAGCATCTTGTCAAGCCTATGTCAAGGCTATTCCTAGTGAGGTTTGGAGAGAAACAGATCCCTGAAACACTGAGTGAGAATGTGAGAAGGAAGTGAGACATTATACTTGTCTCAATTACTTGTTGTGATAATTTTGTTCCTTGCTGTTAAGAAGTGAAAAATCAAAATCTTCTCTGTTATTATTCCATTAGCCATTGAGTACATTCTTGAATATGAAGTTGCACAATTTTTGTTGAGTGGTTTTGATGAATTGAATGTTTACCCAAGCTGTTTGATTAGTTGATTCAATTGCTGCTGTTTTGATGTACAAAGTTTGTGAATTTATGTCATGAGTTTGATCATGGGAATTATCTTGAAAATCTGCTTGATTGGAAATGAGGTTAGATGTGATGATAAGAGTTGATGAGTAATCATTCTTACTGTTTTTCTGATTGGAATTTGTTCCTTGGGGACAAGTAACAATGTAAGTTTGGGGGTGTGATAAGTCCATGATATGTGACTTGAAACATGTGATTTAATGAGAAAATATAAATGAAAAAAGTATATTGTGTATAATATAAACCCCAAAATTGCATAGAAATGAAGGATTCTGATTTTAAATGCTAATGGGCTGGTATTTGTATTTTTCAGGCCCAATTACTGATTTTGTCCAAGCAAAGAAAAGAAAAAAAAAAGAACAAAGAAATTGGGCTGGAACCTTTACAACAAAAATCAGAAGAGCCTAAAAGGAAAGAAAGAAAAGAAAGAAAAGGACTGGGCCGATCCCCAAATCAGAAGCCCAATCCAAAGAAGAAAAGAAAGAAAGGGATTAAGAGTAAGGGAAGCTCAGACGCGTGAAACCAAAAAGAAGACAAGAACCGATACTTGCAAACCCTAGCTTCTGAACCCATCTCCACCAGACCCTCATTCCAAGTCGATCCCTCTGAATCCTTTCACCAATCCAGAACGTCCTTCGATTTCGGTCGAAACCACCAAACCTTAGCCTCACCCACAGTTTATTTTGTGACCAAACCAACCAAAACACCAACCCTAACCGATTTTTGTGCGATACAGAAAAAAGCCAAACACGTCCCTTAATTGATTTGGTGAGCTGGAATTTGTTAGTAGTGCTGGCTGAAGATTCCTTTGGAGTGCGTTTGCTACTTGTGCAAGGGAAACGCACGATTGAGAGGAGCGTGGAGCATACGTACGGGTTGAGGTGTGACCCATTTTGCATGAAGGAGGATAGACTATAAAGGAAGGAGAAAAAGCATTGTAGGGGTTCATCTTCTTCTCTTCGTCTCTTTGATTTTATTTTTACTGTTTTTCAGTTCTGTTCTATTTTTAGGGTTTTTGAATTTGTAATTTTTCTAAGCACTGTAGCAGAGCTATTTGCTGATTATAGCTTCTACCTTTTATTTTTCATTGTTCGTACGTTTTAATTTTCCTGTTTTTATTATGGACCCTTGTTGTTTGTGTGCTCATCAACCTTTGGTGATGAGCTAAATTTCTTAGAGTTGGGTTGAAAGAGTACCCAGAACTCATTTGTTATTAGTTGCTATTTTAAAGCTTAAAGTGTTAATGTCCAGTTTGTTTACTGTGTATTTTTCATTCTGAGTTTATTATGTGATGGCTACACATGTGCTACTCCTAGTGGTGCGGAATTATTGGGAAATAATCCACACTAGACCTCATTATAAGCACATGGAAAGTTGAGAGAGATCTCTCTCAATGGGTATGGCTCCAGGGATGAAATTACCCCCGTGTAACTTAAGGAAATGGTGCTTCAAGGTCTTGTGATAACAGATACATAGGGATATGTCATATGTTATCTATGGAAAAAAAACTGTTGTTGGGAAACAATGGTTGTTTTAATATTTTCATTAAGCTGGAAACAACATCTATTTTCTGTCAAAGCAACCTAATGGAAAATGAGGGAAGGAAAAATTGATACCCAACTTGTTTCCAAACTCTGTTTTTAAAATCAATTTTTGTCACTTGGTATTTTTGTTCAAACCAGAAGTTTAATTTTCTGTTTTAAACTTTAAGAGAAAATCATAAAAAAAGAGTTTACAAGTTTTCCATTTAATTAACTTTTCAGTCAGTAGTTCAAAAATTCTTTCACCAATTAAAGTTCTATTTTAAAAAGAAAATCCTCACAAAAATATTTTTCTTACACTTGATTTAGAATAGCAGTCATTTAATTTGATTTTATTTTATTTTATTTTAGTTCTGATTAGCAATTACAAATTTATTTAAAGTCAAAAATGCCAAAGATCCTTGTGGGAACGATAATTGGGAACCACAAAAGCCCTATATTACTTGTTGTCGTGTATACTTGCGCGCATACTTGCATAACTGTTAGCAAGGCAACAACATACATAGCACAGAGCATAAGCCACAACCCTATATACAACACCATAATTGCAGGTAGACCAAATTATAAAGGACTTATTGAATTGGACACAATGTGAACAAACTTAAATATGATAAAATCAAAGATCCAATTTGTTTTAAATGCCATCCTCAGTAATTCACACTTCAAATTGGGGGATTCACAAGGGAATTCAAAGAAAATCTGCACCACTAATGCAATCACCACGAGGAATATTCTATCAGCTAGCCAAATCATAGAGACTTAATAAATCCTCATCAATAATGGAATTACCAATAATCCAATTTTCTTTTTACCATACGGCATCGTTTTCATCTGCATTGTCAGGCATAATTTCTATGTCATGCTAAGAGTTAGCATACATTTTAACTTGAAGTCATAAATGAATCACTTGTTACTTGATTCAAGTGGTTTTAACTGCTGACATGTAATTTATATTAATATAAAAAAAATTGATGAAATTAACTGATAAGATGTAACAGATTACTAGAACTTTTTTCAACTTTGTGCTCAAGTTAGTATAATAGACTATATCTTATCTATATAAACTATAAAGCATTTCAAATAAGATCTACCACTTACAAATCCAAAACCATGTAATTAACTTTTCGCTTTACCAATTATAAAGCATTTCTTTTCTTCAATTTTAAAAGGGTATGTCAGCACTGCAAGGTATTGCAAGCACAAAACATGGACAACTAAGCATATACTGATTTAATACAAGTGCGAGGATCTGAAAAGTTAGTTCAATTAAATGCAAGTTATATTTAAATTGATAAAACAGAGGTGCCCTGTAACATCAACATCAACAAAGTTATATACTATTGAATAGTCCTACTCTATCAGCTTATTTAAAAAAATAAAAAAATAAAAAAATAAAACAAAAGCCCTCCCAAATAAATAAAATAAAAAACCAGAAACTACTCTTTCAGATATAGGTAAACAATATTAATTTTAACCCAAATAAAAAAAAAAAGTACTTAATGCACAGTTTGGCAGTTGAATGAAAGCTACACACAGACCATGCAGCTTCTAGCAAGTTTTTCATCTAAGAGCTTTTGTTAACATGGTCATATCCACCCATTTGATGAGGCATATTGTTTGGTGGGTGCCGCTGCTTCATATCTTGTGCTTTCTGCAATTCTAGTGCTTGCTGCGTTACATTTGCTTCCAACAATTTGTGCACGCTGAGCCTTTCTTGCACCTGCTGCTGAATTGTAACAACAGGAGGAGGGGGAAGCCAATTCTGCTGATGAATGGGGAGAGGGATATTGTTTGTTGGGTCCTCAACTGTTATCATGTCATGGATGCTCATTATTTTCATTTTCTTCAATGTTGGTGGGGGAAAATGCAGCACTTCTTCTTCTTGTGATTGTTGCATTCCACCCATAGTTTGGTTAGGCACATTGTTGTTTGGTGGATCCGACCTTCGCATTTCCTGCGATTGCTGCTGAAATTCCTGTGCGTCCCTCAATTCCTGAGCTTGCTGATGAAGCATTTGAACATTATTATGAGCAGGAACTCCGATGTTGTTTTCAGCATTTAAGGTTATGTCATGGATGCTTGTTCTTTTCCTTTCCTTCTTTGTGGCACCTTGAGCAAGTCGAAGAAAGTATTTTTGGGCATGACTAGCAACTTGTGTTGGATTTCTTGTCTTAACTACATATCTAGCAATGCTTCTCCAATCTCCCCTGCCAAATGTCTGCAGCCCATACAGAAATAACCTATTACAGAAACAAGAGTTCAGAGAGAAATTTGAGAGAGAGTTGGTAATTTTCTTCTATATATGCCTTCTCGTTCAAGATATTCCTACATACACTACTTTGTCCTTCCATCAACGGAAACAACATCAAGGCAATAACAGAAACACAATAGGAAAATAAAGGAGATTAAGAAAACAAAGGAATCTCTTTAATGGTTTTTGTTGCTACAAAGTGACTAAAGTTCAATATTGCCAGATACTTGATAAGAAAGATATTTCACCTATAATTTTTTGCTGTTTCTGTTCTGTTTATTAGGAACCGAACCGAACCAAAAATCCAGTTCAAGAACAAAAGAACTTTACCTATCATTAATCAAGCAAATAATAATTCACTTTAATAAGCACGCACGTTACTATATTTTTCCTTTTCAATCCAATGTAAAGAATACATGGTAAATCAACCATTAAAAGAAATCATTCCTCTATAAAGTATAAACCCCAACTAATCAAGATAGAGATGAATTACCCTTCTATTTTTTCAAAGAAATTATTTTGATATTGGAACCGGTGATTTTGAGTCACAAGATTAATGATAAATAAAAATAAATGGGTCTTTTACACAAACTCACTTGTGTTCCTCTTCAGTCCATGCCACCCCTTTCTTTCTATGGGTACCACTGTTGTTCTTCACCTGCACCGGCGACAAGTCATCGGAGTAAAGAGGTAACGGGACTCGACCGGCCTCAATCTCCATCAAGTCATGGACCAACACGCGATAATGTTCCCTGACCTCCGCCGGCGATTTTCCGGGGACAAGAGCGGCGAGTTTCTCCCAGCGCTCCGGCTCAGGGAGGTCTTCCGGGAAGATGACAAGAGCGTCCTCAAAGGCAGTGTCCTGCTCCCGAGTCCAGTGAGTCAACACTCCATCGGCATTAATGTAACTACCCCCGGCGCATGCATCCAAGGGCTGTCCATTATTCTCTTGCTGTGGTAACTGAGACATTCTTTCTTTCTTTCTTTCTTTTTCTAGTGTAGTTGACTTTGAAAGCCTTTGGAATAAACTTTGAAGTTCTTTGTTGATGCCTTTTATTCAGAGTTCAAAGACTTCCTTCTTTATAGGAATTCTGTTAGCTTCAAGAGATGACGATGCATGCATGTGTTATCCTTTTAAACAATATTGCAAATTCAAATGTCTGTTGAGACTTTTGAAGTTTTGATATTTAAAAATCGTACGTTCCGCTAGTAACTAGTAAGATACGCTGGGCTCATCTTATTTAACGAGAGTCTTTCAATTTTTAATTTTTTTTCATATTTTTCAATCAGAGACATTTTAATTTCAGTCATTCTGAATATTAATAAATTAATTAATTAGCTGGATGATAAAAAATAAAAATAATAGCAAGATGAACTTAAAATGTAAGGGTGCAAGATGGTAGCGTTTTTAAAGTCAAACTTGAATATTAAACTTGATCCATTTTTAATCAATATTAAACTTGATCCATTTTTAATCAATATTAAACTTGCCACTCAAACTTGAATTTCTTTTCCAGTATATGTTTGTTGAAACAAAACAAAGATAAAATAATTTAGTTGTTCAATATTTTTAGATTGTGTTGTAAATCTTTGTTTTTGTTCTTTCATTTTTGAATGAGAGAGAGAAGAAAAATAAGATAAGATAAGATATCATGAATTTCAAAACATTTTAAATTGTGTTGGGATTTTTGTTTTTGGTTTTTATTGTATTTTCATTTAAATGTCTTATCCCTTTAAACAATACTAAATTAATTAATTTGAATATTTGTTATCTCAAGCTGGAAAATAAGAATATAATCATTTTTCTTCCAAATTGTAATGTCTTCATTTTAATTGGTGACTAAAAGTGATATATGACTTGTAGTTTTAATAATTTTGTATAGAGAAAAGTATTTGTCCTTTTAAATGACACAACTTGTGTCATTTTACTCTCACAAAGAGGTGGGACCCATATTTGTATTTTTATTTTTGTCCACTCTCTCTTCTATGATTTATCTCTTTCTCTCATTTAAAATAACACTTTATATCCTTTAAAATAACATAACTTTACATCCTTTAAAATGACACACATTTTTCCTTTTTTATATTATGTTAAGCCAGTTTATTTTAAACTTCACGTTGTGTAAATATAAATGTCACTTCTCCTTGTTAGGAAAAGCTACATTTATTGTTATCAAAAAAAAAAAAAGCTACATTTATTTCTCTAATGGAAGTTTTTCAGATGTTATTTGTAAGGGCGTAAATGGGATGAGCGGCTTGTTAGAGACCCAAGGCTTGGCTTGCTTTAAGCTTGACTTGGCCTGACTTGTTTAATAAATAAAACAGACTCAAGATTTAAAAAAACTTAATTAGCAAAAAAGTCCAAACCTAATTTAATGAGGCTTGGCTTGAAAGCCCTTGAGCTGGCCTGATATATTATTATAATAAATAGTATATATTTTTATGTCATTGAATCATTTGTTTGTTTGGATATCTAGAGTTGGAGATAGTTGACTTGTGTTCAAATGATATAGGAGAGGGGAAATTTTGGGTTCTATACAAGTTCCATGTGGGTGGGTCTGCATGCTACTCTACATGAACTGGATCAACGTTTAAGAAGAATTTGCGAAATTCATTATTTGATCATGAAGTCTCGACTTTAATGTATCTTGAATTGGTTCCATACTAGTCCATGAATCGAATCTCTAATGGGATAATTGAATATATTGAAAATATTTTTTTTGTTCTATCTAGATAGCATGAAAGATGTAAAATGTGGACCGGGTGAGTTCTATGATTGTTTTTTCTCTGACGAATGAATACAAGATTTGATGCGTTTATAGTCTCAATATTTAGATGTATGTGAGTTTAGAAAAATACATTTTATAATTATAAATGAGTCAAGCCAAACATTTAATTTTATATAAACAAGCCAAGTCAAGCCTAAAATTTAACTCGTACCAGACTAATGGGTCAAGCCAAGCTCAAAATATTTTTCGTAAACTTAGTTCGTTGAAACTAAAATTTGGCTTGACTCCTTTACACCCTTACTTATTTGTACTTACTTACTGAGCCCTTAAACAACGAACTTTTTTTTTTTTTTGGTACAAACAAACACCAAAAGTGGATATGTTACAAAATAATTTCGCATGCAGTTTACAATCTCCCGAACGGATAATGTGATCAAAAGTGAATACGAGTTTTTTGCATTGTCATCATTGAGAGCTCTATTCTATTTTTGTAACCAAAATATTTGGTTACATGATTGCTTGATATAAAACGTAATAATTTAAGTACGATCAATGTTGATAAAATTGAAATTTTATCTAACATCGAGAAGAGGTAAAAAGATTATAAATCGTAAAATAGTAACGGATTGTAAGATTATTTATGTACATATAAAATATTAAAATCACATGAATAATCAAATAATTTATTACATAATCACATTATATTAATTTTTTTATTTAAAATAAAAAATAATTTATCACGTAATCCTTAATTGATAATTTTTTAATCTTTTGGTCAAGTAAAAAATATAATTTAAACACATTAAAGTTTATCATAATCGATATAATTCTTTGTAGGAAAAAGCGCTTATCTTTTTAAATGACACAACTTATATCATTTCACTTTCACAAAGAGGTGGGACCCACATCTTTACTTTTTTGTCAACTCTCTCTTCCTTTATCTATCTCTCTTTCTCTCTCTTAAAATGACCCAACTTTATCTCGTTTAAAATGACACATTTTCCCCTTCTTTGTATTATGATTTATAATTTTCTTTCTTTCTTTATTTTTTATTAATTTATTAGGATTGTGATAATTTTAAAGCGAAAGGAAAGCAAAAAAGCTAGTTCTTCTCCTCCACACGCCTTGGATTGTTTCAAATTATTTTTCATTTCCTCTATCAACTTTTTCGGAAACCAAACAAACTTCCCTTTTGTCAGAGTCTTTGTTGTTGAGATTGTCTGAATACTCTTACTCACTTCGTCTCCATTTTGCAAGATATTCACCTTCTTCATTTCCTCGATTATGCTTCTCTCGGTCTCATTAGTTGCTTCCACAAGTTTCATCTGTTTAACATAACAGAGCATGTGCTGAATTTTTTGAGTTTCTTGAATCAGTTCAACTGCAATCAGAGAAACTATGGGTTTTTCCTAAGCTTCATCTTTTTGCTTGTGTGTTGTTTTTTCCTCTTACTGCTTAGTGCTTACAGAAAATGAATTGAGAAATCACAAATGAATTCGGGCATTCGGCTTTTTGGGTATTAAATTGCAAAAAGGGTGGGATCTTACGATCCTATCAATCTCACGTGTTTAAAACGGTCTCGCTCTCAATCCATATTGTAAGAATTCGCACCATTAAATTAGGCATTTAATTAATTTAATTGACATAATTATGATATTAGGAAATAATTCCATAATTGACCCTAATAATTATAAGTGAGCTTAAATAATTATAATAATTGATTAATAATGTTGAAAGTCGCTTTTCTGACGAAAAGTGCAGATACATGTTCTGCTCCACGGTATAAATGCGTACCGATGAAGTATCCCGAAAAATTATAATAAGTATGAGAATATTCCTAGAATAATACATAGGACTAGTACGTCAAGTTTCAAGTCAAAATAATGAGAACTGACGTCAGGACTGATAGCGGTTACGTAAAAGCGCGTACCAGCAAAGTGCTGCGAAAAATAATATAAAAATATGACAAATCTTAGAAAAATGGTTAGGTTCTGAATCCAAAGTTTGGGATTAAAACGTTAAGCGTAGCTATTAGTACTAATACAGCGCGATTAAAACTTAAGTGGATTATATAAGGACTTGGCACATGATCCTAGGTCATTTTGGTGCCTCCTACGTGAGTAATTTCTGAAGGCTCAGCTGCTGCCACATTCTCCCATGGTCACCATTTCTTGAAAACCTCTCAAACTTCCACCTTTCTTGTTAGTCTTCTTTATCTAAACACTTGACTTGGTGTGGGTTAGCATTGTGAGGGAGAGGAGTGCCTCATTTCTGACTTTCAGCCACTATCTTGGGAGGGTATGGGCTGAGTTCCTTGGCTTGAGTTGTTGAAGCCATTTTCTTGGTGGTTGGTACTCCAAGAAGCAATCTTTGTGAAGAAAGGAAGGATCCACAGAAGGCTCTGGGATATAAGTAGGATCAGTAGTGTGGTGACTAGCCTCACTAGACTGACGACTAGCACCACTCCCCTCCTGCTGAGGAGTAATAGATGGCGTACAGGTAGCAGTCTCTGTAGCCGTGTGTGGAGGAGAATCATCCCTCCTGTTCCGAGCCCTGTCTGCCCTCATTTCAGTCATAAAGGCATGCATCATGTCCTGATTATTTTTCATCAGGGTCTCGGTCATATTTCTATTTGCAGCAGTCTCTTCCTGCAGAGCATTAAGAACTGCAGGAATAGGATCTGGTGCGGCTAGATGACCTGCACCTCTAGCTCCACGGCGACCCCGTGCCCTGCTCATGATATCTGTACATATAACACAAAGAAATGAGCTGATCAGATCCACACTGAGGAATCACATATACATTAATCATAAACAGTTCACAGATAGCTATGCAACACAAGATACAGTAATACTTTATCAGAGTTCCTTCACAAAACTGCTCTGATACCATAAAATGTAACGGCCCGTTGTACACCGGTATTGTTAACATTAATATGATATTAAGCGCAGTTACAATAACAACAATTCATTTATAAAAATGCGAATAAACTTTTTTCGATTATTACGCGAGCATTTAAAACAATAAAACGCGTAATAATTAAAAGATGTGACTATAACTGTTAACTCTTGCGGAATATTTATTTTAACTACTTTTACATTACACTTTACTCAATATAAGTTACTAAGGGGTTCCCATAAACCCACTTAGCCAATTACTAAACTGTACGTTTTTACCCTTTCAAACATGGTTCACTCATTAATTTTCTGCGAACACACCGCTCACAACCAGACCTTCTTCT